GAGATAAAAAAAAAAAAGGGAGGGTGGCGACTGTTAAATCTTACTTTAGGTTTAGAGTTAAATTTATACTTGCTTTTTAGTTTTTAAATGCTGGCATGGTTAAATTGGTTTAGTTTGGTTTAATCAGTTTTAAATTTTAAAAATTAAAATTAAACTGAATTAGAATTTTTTTTTTATGATTTTTAATTGGTTAATTCAGTTTTTTTAATTATTTTTTGGTTTTTTTTTATTAATTTATTGATTTTTTTTTTATTTTTGCTTATCCTGTGAGGCAATTCACCAAAACAAGAATTAGAAAACCGAAAAAAATATAAAGAGAGTCAAAGCTACGTTCACGGTTCATAGCTTGCCAAGCACTAGCGTGGCTTGAGAAAGAAAGAGAGCACCTTGATGATGCTGACCTTAAATCATGTACATCTACGCTATCTTGGTGTGAATATCTTATTTTCTTCATCGAGTTAATCTTTAGAAGTGACGAAGGTGAAGAATGAATTTTTGCTCCATGCCATTTTGAATCCAACTTGATTTGCATGGAAGCTATGGCGAGGTCTTTTGTCCCTGAAGATGGAGACCAGTACCTCCCGGTTCGCCGCCCAAGTTGCAGGAACAAAAGCTCTGTTTTAGGCCTTTTACGTCTGGTAACTAGTCTCATGTCTTCTCTCTCATTGCCGTATCTGGCCTCATTTGGAACCTCTTATCTTGCTGCTTTCTTCTTTCTCCAACTTCACAAAATATAATTTGCACCTCATTTTCTCAGTCGATCGCTGTTATCCTTTTAATGAGTGTTTTGATGAACGGTAGAGGTTGTTTGGAGCCCACAGATGATCTACGATGCAAGGCTTCCTGGAATCTTACCTCAATCATGGCTTACCTTCGCCATGCCAATGCAGAAGGCTAATTGGACCAGGGTGCAGGCTCCTACATTTCCCTTCAAAGTCGTCACCGGCGAGCCCATGTTGGTTCCATCTACTATGATCCACTGGCTTTATGTTCCCAGCCAAGACAGGCAAAAAGGGTGCCAAAGAGCCCATGCGATCTATCCTCTCTTGTTTTTTTGCACTTCCATCCATTCCTCGACTCTTTGTTTGAATATTTCTTCTCCATTTATCCACATCCGCCACCATGCCTCCGGTAATAAAATAACCAGGATTTCTTCCTTTAAATGTTTCCAAAATCTGTTGGTGAAATATAGAGCAAAATTTGCGTTGCAATTCAGGTGCTGCCACCACCCTGTCCTTCATATCCAAGCTCCATAATTCTGCTTTATCATCGACCACAATAAGATCTAAATCTAAGTACATCATTCTTCTTACTGTCTGGTATGATATCGCCCAAATAATTTTTGCATCATTTACAGGTTGACTTGTCGAATAGAAGTCTTGGTAAAGGCAATCCTGCCTTTAAGTTCCCGGAACTTGGAAATGTTTAAGGATCATCATGGAAAGAAGGTTGAAAATGAGAGAGCAAGTAAGGTTGGTATAAATTTTCATTTTTTGTAGTTTGTTGCAATGGATGGTTCTCTTTTAAAACCTTGACTACGCCTAAAAAGTCATTTCAGAAACATGGTTTGTGCCTTAGATTAGGTCGGATCTCGATTTGGATTGGTCATGCAATTAATCTAGAAAAACTCGGTCAATTTGCGCCTGTTATGCTTTGAGTGAGATTATATTAATTTTTTTAAATAATATTATTTTAATTTTTTTTTGTTAAAATAACGTTAAAATAACATTGTTTTAATAAAAATTAAAATAAAAAAATAATTAATCCACTAACTTAAGACTTATATCATGAGTTAGGTAAATGAATCTACAAGTTAGCAAGGCAACATGGATCAATTATTTATTTATTTTTTTAGCCAAAACAACATTATTTTGACAAAAAAATAAAAATAAAAATTGATCCATGTTACTTTACTAGCTTATAGATCCACCTATCTCATCACGTGAGTCTTAAGCTAGTTTTTAAGCTAAATCTATTTTAAAATATCACTTTTATTTTTTGCATGTTCAAGAAACTTATTTAAATTAGGCTTCATTTGTTCCATGTAAAATAATTCTTTTTTTATGAATATTTCATGTGAAAAATATTTGTTTGAAAAATATATTTTACTTAAATGTAATTTTTTGGTGTTTATTTTATATGAAAATAAGTGTTAAAAAAGAACATACAAGAATTAATTAGTGATACGACCTATGATATAATTTAATGAAAAAAATAATTTTATAAAATATTTTCATCTCTTGAAAACCATAAGATGTTTTTTCTTGTTTCAAGCTTTTTTTGTTCCTTTGATCGTAAAAATATTTGGAAAATATACACATAGAATGAAGTTTTTCTTTCCAACAAGTTCTTATATTTTAATACAAAAACATTAAAATAAATTTGAAAAATTTATTATGTCAATTTTTTAATTTATATTTTTTGAATTTGTTTCGAAATAAATTTTAAAT